GCTATATAAATAAATTGCATTGAATTGAATTGAACTGAATTGAATTGAATTAAGCAATTTGAGATGTTTTTGTCCGTGAAAGGTTTTATAGAAATGAAGTTTACTTACAGTACTTACTTGTTAGTTTTGCTTCCCATAGTTCTGTCTGTCTGTAGCTAAAACAATAAAAAAGCGTTTGGACTTTGAGAGGAAAGTAGGTCTAACTGGACTTCACGGGTTCCCTGTGGCTGGAACCGGCTTACCTCTGGGGCAACATCAACACCCTACACTCTTTTCTCCAAAGCTCAAAAATGGTTCTGTTGGACKAGCCAGCATGGTTGTGGACGGGCTGGCTAGATTCTCTTCTCTGCACAAAGTTCAACCTCCGACTACTGGTCTATGTACAATGATTGCCATATTGTTTTGACTAAATTTCACCAAACTAACTCAACTAAAATAGAAAACACACTAAACTACAACTTAACATTAAATTCCAAACACGTCAAATAATACAAATCTCCCATTCTTACTATCGCTCCATTGCTTCTGAACTTCATTCAATTTTGCATCTTTTTATTCTCTTCTTCCTATAGATATTTTTTACCCCTTTTTTGTACCAAAAAACTTCAGGCCTCAGTTTGAAAAGTAGTTGCTGCCTGCTGCTGCAAAGTACATCAGATAGGTCATTTTTTAGAAGAAAAAAAAAACTGGCATAAACTATTCATCATAATTCCAATTTTACCTGGCCTATCAACGTAATTTAAAAAATAGTGCAAAGTTTAAAGTCGGAATTGTTCTCTTGACTAAAACTGAAACCGGCTCAGATACWGCATATCTTTCTGGTTAGACTATTTTAAAGAAGTCATGTGACCAAGACGCAACAACGTCTGCAGGGACTTCAGAGGGTTAAAGTATCGGTAAGAAAGACAAAGCACTCAAAATCTGACAAAAGCTTTGCAGTAAACATCATAGGAAAAAATGATGAAAGAGCTGWATGAACAATGGCAATGACAGAAAAAAGGGAGACATAAACAGAAGTTGCTCTAAGTAATGAGATTCTTTTTGAAAGTCACTCTGTTGTTAATTGTCTTATTTATTGTCACTTTGTTTGTTGGGTTGTTTAATGTGTTGTTTATTGTTTTGTTGTTTATTGTTTTGTTCTTTAATGTCTTGTTGTTTCATCTCCTGTTTGTTGTTTGTTGTCATGTTGTTTAAAGACAGTGTAAAGTAAATTTTACTATTTTCTTCATTAAACATTATAAATGTCACAATTGCATTGTTGTAAATGAGTAAAAATTCTCACAACTGTAGATACTTTAATTTTGGAGGTATAGATCAATTTGTGTTTAAAGATATGTTTGTTTCAGGATTTTCTGGGCGTGCTTTTAAAGGCGGCTGTGTTTCGTCACACGGCCGCCTTAACATAACCTCGGCATAACTCCGCCCCCTGCTGCTCCAGCAGTATAAAAACGTTCTTCGCCTCGGCCATTACTGTTCACTTGCTAATCGCAGATAGCATCAGATAACAATAGCATCAGGTAGCAATAGCATAGATATTTTTGTTGTTGTTAGCTAGCTAAACAATTCCCATTTTACTCCAGATAGTTTTACTAACTAACTGGAGACACAGTTGGGATTTATGGACAGTCGTTTGGTGCTGGTTCATGAGGCTCTACCGACCGCCTCCCTCCCGGACTCTCCTCCCGACATCGCCACCTCTCCTGCACCTGATGGTGGGACAATGCCTCACCCAGTAAACGTAGTAAGTTGCTGTTTGTGCTTTTATTGTAAACATTCTAAGTGTTGGCTATTTAGTACATGATTCGGGTTTCGGGGGACCCTCCGACTCGCGCGCACGTTAGACTCCCTGGTTTGTGTTTTAAGACGGGTCGGGTGGTTACCYCGGGGAGAGAGGGCGCAGCGAGGCACTGAGTCCATGGCCCCGGGAAGCGGCGAGGTCGGAGCGGAGAGGGCGCTGTAAAGCTCACGGCCGAGACCGCGAGCCACCTTCGCCCCCAAGCCCTTCCTTGCCGACCCAGAGCCGGTCGCGGCGCACCGCCCGGAGGAAATGCGCCCGGAGAATGAGTAGGGCTGGAGAACTCCAATAGGCTGCCAGCCTTCGTGAACATCTCCTCCTCAGTACAGGACACGGACACAGTGACACTCAGCGTGTGGGCGTGGTTTCAGCGCCTCCAGCTGACACGCCCCCAGCATTTTCAGAACAGAGCCATTGATGTTTTTTCATTATTTTTGAGACACTTTTATAAAGTAAACAATGCAAATCAGTCAAATTTAGATGGGTAATTAATAACACATATTTCTGTTGTGTGACAAACTCAAAACACAAATTTCATTTTACTTTACACGGTCTTTAATGTTTTGTTGTTTATTGACCTGTTGTTGTTTTTTTGTTCTGTTGTATTTATTTCCTGTTGTTTATTGTTCTGTTTAATGTCTTGTTTATTGCKCTGTTCTATTGTCCTGTTCATTGTCTTGTTATGGGTAGTTTGACTCTGTCTGAGGTAATCGATGGCTCACTGCATCTATTGGATTATGTGAGGGATTTGAAACCAGGATTAGGCCACTGGACTGGAGACACTGTGGGGGCTGTGTATATTCGTGTCAGGGTGCATGACTCAGGGGGTGGGAGGTGTGACCACAAAGCGTATTTTGTCTTCATTCAGTCTTTACTGTCTCTGATACAGCCTGTCCACTATGAACATGTTCTGCTTCACGCTGGTAAGACCGATCTTCTGAATGTATTTGTAGTTTTCATTTAGTCCATTGGAACTTGTTAACAAAACTCATGAGCAGAGGAACTGCCTTTTTATGTTGATAATGTTTTTGATTTTGTAGAGGATCAAGTGTGATTAGAACAAACTTTAAAGCACTGTCAMTTCAGTCAGTGTTGTTATTGTTATTTGCATATTATTCAAATGAATGACTGTATTATGGTAATATTGTTGGTACACATTACACNTTTTTTTTTTTTTTTGACAAAAAGTACATTCATATTGATCGTAAGTAAATTGACAGAAATAAAAGCAGAAAACATCCAGGGGGAAAATACTTTTTATAGACACTGTACATGGTGAAACTGTGCAAAGTCAATGATCAAATTGTAGATAAGAGAAAGGTTGAACTGTTCAGGAATCAGTTTGTCTCCCCCCTGGTGTCAGTCAGAATATTGACAATTTGTTTTCTCATGAGATAAGAGATTTTATTGTTTGAATTGATTTTGTGGGGGAAAAGCGGCAGATAATATACGATTTTTTTCTTCTTTCTGTTGCCTTTCATTTTATTTGTGATTTTTATATATTATTGCACATTGAATTTAGTTTTGTTTTTAAAGAAATTAAGTTAATAAACTAATGTGATAAGATGATTCAAGAGTAGCTGATTTTTATCGATCTTCAGAGGCAGATCCAACAGAAGAGAAGGTGGAGCGGACATGAGTGGCTCACTCTGCACCCCCAAACCCTCCACTCTAAAAAAGAGGTGTGAATTTCTGCTTTAAATTGAAACCATTTCTATGTCTCCGTGTGTTAGTGTGAAAGCATAATGATGCACAAATACCAAATACAAGTACTTACATTTGAGTACATGTAACATCAAGTAAAAACACTGAGTGCCATTATACTTTTTACAATTCCTTTTTGAAACTGTTTGAAAATGAGGAGCTTTTTCCTGATGTTACCTCCTCAAACAAAGCAGGACAGCAACAATCTTTTCCAAAAGATCCCACTGGTGAGTGGTGGGATTGTTGGGAACATCATGTTCAGAGCTGTATATTCCAAGGAACTTCTTGTGCTCAATGACAGACTGTAGTCATTTCCCACTGTTGTTAACAACCTCTTTAAACTCAGAGCTGTGATTTTTTTTTTATGTTTTATCAAATTGCTTGTAAAATTATCTCTTCTCTTGGTAGCTTTGCTGAGCAGAATCTACAGTCCATTTATCTTTGTCCTCATTGGTCACTTTGAAATTCCTCCATATGATGACTTCTTTTAATAATCAACTTTACAGAGCATTGCCACTGCCAACTGGTAAGGGGTTTGGATCAGAAATAAAAACAAACTTGCCTAAACACAGCTGACAGGGCTCCTCTACCACTTGACTGCTCCACTGGTGAACGTTATGCCTCTCAGCTGAGCAGTCAGGTAAAGTGGCATCAGAACTTATAATTATTGTGTACAAGTACACACACAATATCAGACTTATACCTCATACTGGTATTGTTGCATCCCTACATACAAGACCCCAGGAGGTTGAAATAATTTGTAATAACAGGAAAATTGTTCCTTAAAAAATTAAAGTTCACAACTTTGGTACTGGATGAAGTCATTTAGAATGGTACAGTGTTAAACAGTACTTTTGAGGTTTAATGAGAGTAGGACCCAAATATAGTGCAAAAGTCGTCATGAAGCTATCAGCGATCAAGTTTGAATGTAAAGTCACTGCATTATTTTGGCAATTTTTCTTTTAGATTTCACGGTATGTAAGCAAAATGATCCATCAATTTTTACACAATGAAACAAAATGTGTTACAATAACTAGTTAAGCCTGGATTCTTTCCAGACATGAGAAGAAGTGGTTTCTGAAGCTCGAACAACAGCTGATAACACCAAGAACTAGGGGTGTAAAGTCAACAGATTTATCTTAATACGATATGTTGATTTGTTTGGATGACGATACAATGTTTCTTCGTTATCACAGGGGGTCATGATACGATTTCAAATCAGATCAATTCACAAATCTGCCATCAATATGATGATGAGATATCATATGCCCATCTAACACAAATGATCGTGTTAGATGGGCATATTATATTGATTCACATAGAGCATGATGATGACGATATGGATAAATGTTTACGTTTTGCCTTGATACAATTGAATCATTTATCTGTTAATCAACCTATTGATGTGGATTAATGTATTGTTATACCCTTACCAAAAACCTGGTCCTAAATTAAAATAATCAGAGGACACAAGGATGGGCAAATTACTAGCAAAAACAAAAATCCAGATTTCTTCCATTATATCAAGTTGATTTGATGATTACTTTTGAAATAATTGATTTTGAAACACTGAATAGATAAAGATGATAAATTCTTAAGACTACTAAGAAAGCAAACAGAAACATCACTTTCAAAAAGCTAGAATTTCACGGATTTTTGGCCACTGCCATGAAAGTCAGGCAATCATAAAATTGCTTCTGTGTGCAACATTAGCAAACACAAAAATAACAATAAATCAAACTTTGTTACTACCAAATCAAATTTTAGCTCAGTATCTACAGTACATAATCATTCACAATGCATACTCTTAGGGCTAACAGATGGCCTCAATATATTTGTTTAAACTTTGGTATGCAAGGCAGCAAGCAATGTGCATTCATTTAAGGAATGCTAGTTTTCCTATTTTGTGTATTTGAAATTGAAAGTTTTTGTATAAATGTTAATACTTTTCAGATCTATGAGAATCTGTCTCAATAAAATACCGTAAATTATTGTTTGCATGAATGACCAGATTCCTGCTTCTATCAAAAAACTAAAATCCTGGCACAGATAAATGTAGAACCTGCAGTCTGTTTGGTGTTTAGTGCATTTCTCCAAAACCTCTAAAAAAACAACAATAATAATCCCTTATTTGTTTAGTGGGAGCAGCAGCAGACAGAGTGGAGATCCTCACAGCAATAGGAACAATGGGACGTTTAGGCCATAGTATACCCATAGCTCCCACAGTGCAGTGCAACCAGCAGCCTGTCTCTCAGAACCTCCTGGCTTGGGTATTCTGGGAGTTTCAACATGTTGATGCTGCAAATAAGCAGAACATGGAGAACTGGGTCATTGATGGTCATGATGATATTGACAAAAGTGGTCAGAACAACTCATGTGTAGCCAACAAAAGAAAGTTAATCTCTTCTTTCCCAAAATGTTGCAAAACAATGGCAAACCTGAAGACCGGTTCAGATTTAACACCTGGGTTACAACAATGTAAGAAAGACTCGTTATCGGAATTAACCAGACAAATCGCTCCACCAACTAAGAACGGCCATGCACCACCACCCACAGAATCGAGAAAGAGCTATCAATCTGTCAATCCTTTCCGTGTCCGGGCCGGGTGAGGTTTCCCGTGTTGAGTCAAATTAAGCCGCAGGCATGCAGTGAGTTGAGTGAGAAGGGAAAAAGGGGTGATACTTTTTTCTCACTTTACTTCATGTTAAAGCTCTCATTACCAGTCACCAAAACCCATAATACAATATCAAACACTTTATCTTGCAAAGGCCCACCCAACAGGACTATCCCCAGTTGTAAATCTTATTCACATTAGCCATGAAACCTCCTGCTATGCTGTAAAAAAAAACACAGAGCAATTACAGACATTACAAATTTTTTTAACAACCTTAACAAACTTTTTAAAAAATGTAGTGAGTAGAAAGTACAGATAATTGTGTAAAAATGTAATAAGTAAAAGTATGCTGAAAAATAATTACTCAAGTAAAGTACAGATATCCAAAAATTCTACTTAAATTCTTCTTGTGTATGTACAGTATGTGTGTATGTTTGTGTGTGTGTGTATATAT